CACCTCCCCTGTGCTTTCTCCACAGTGCACTCTGGAACTCTGACAACAAAATTCCCTGCCTTCTCCATTTTTTCTTTGAGTGCCATCTTCCCCATCCTCCTTTAACCAAAACCTGGCAATTCCATAAGGACACAGCTTTCTCTATACCTTTAATATCCCAGTGCACACAGCAGATACCCAGAAAATGGTGAATACAAAGATGACTCAGAGTATTAATGGTAATAGTTTAGACCCTGGGCAGAGAGATAAGGTAGAGAGAGAGAATGTTGGATGCTAATAAGATATCTATATGTAAATGCCTATTCTCAGATCAGGGGGATTAGGGCTTCAGATAATTAGATACTGATTTCAGAATTATCAGCAAAGAAAGGAGAGTCCTGATTGGAGCCTCTATGCAGAAATGGATGATGAAAGAAGAGATTGCATGCTAGGCTTAAGTGGACACACATTCAAAAACTAACAGGAATTATGAGAACCATCAAAGGGCAGAATATAAAGAAAGAGACAGACAAAAAGATAACAAAGTAAGAAGGAAAAGAGAAGCTTATGGAAACCTAGAGAAGAGGGAAAAGTGTTCTGGATCATTGTTGAGAAGCAAAATCTATTGTGTGGAATTTAGTTGAATAAAACAACATATTCAGACAGTGAATTTGGAGGAACATGTAGATATTTCAAAGAAAGAGATTAAAGGAGTAGGAAAAAGAGACAAAATGAGGAAAAACAGACTGCAGATAAGAAGAGGTAAATTCCATGGCCCCAAGAGTACAATGGGCAAGTTCGCTGGTAGAGTTGGACCAAATAGATTGGTGAGCAGAATGCACACAGAACTTCCAAAGCCTAACTCATAATTGCTATAACAACACAACCCCGTCCTCATGTTAGTGATTTTAAAAAAACCATAAGCAAATGCTATTTACTATTCTTGTGGGAAGAGAATCCCCACTCCTGGAAGCTCTGTGTTGGATGTTCTGGGGAGTAGTGTGGGAGTAAAGCAACTGGTGGATCAAAGAGTGTTGGCATTGGGATGCTAATGCCAGACATGTACAAGAATTGCACGTACACCTGCCTCAATGCTGACCAACACTTAGATGCTGAATTTAGATCTCCTTCTTAACTGAGTGTAACTCACATAAACCAAACGTTTATGGATACACTTTGTTGCAACTGTCATTTACGGCGCCATCATTGTACCAAAGGAAACTCAACTGCTCAGTGGTGTGCTGGAAAACAACCGTATGGTTTGGTTTGGTTTGGTTTTTTTTTAAAGACAGTTTTTGCTGCTGACATCCACAGTGCAAATACCCCCGCCATGACTGATTTCAAGCCAATAACACGACGTCTCTGAACGGGGAAAAGGGTAGAGATGTGCACAATAGTCTCTGTAAGTCAGTGCAAGCTGGTTCCAGAGAGTCAGATGTAACTAGTTTGGACTGGGGCTGGCACAAAACATTTTTAAAGCCCCTCAGGAGGTTCTCTGTGCAGCCAGGTCTGAGAATCATTACTTATAGTGGTACTTCTCAAATTTGCATGTGCTTATGAATCACCTGGGAATCTTGTCCAAATGCAGGCTTTGACTCAGTAGGTAACGTTGGTCCCTAGCAAGGGAGATAAGTGGACTAAAAAAAGAAGACGAAAACAGTCATTTATAGCCCTACCTTTGTCAGAAATATTTGAGGGGCAGGTTTTGAAGAAAAGTCACAAACTGGAGGTCCATGAATTACTTGTGGCCAAACCCACAGAGAGCTTTTCTTTTACCCAATTGCATCTTATTTCTTTAAATTTGAACTAAATGCCAAGATCATAAAATTCCATTTCTCCAGCTTCTCTGGAGAAAAAAAGGGGGGGGCAGTAACAGCAACAACAAAAGATCTGTCAATTCAGGGCACACAGCCCTGCCTGCAGGGATCCTGCCCCCTCTAGGGGTGGTACTGAGACTTTGTCCTGCCTCTGTTGCCTCCTAGTGGTCTCCATCTCTTTGTTTATATTTCCTCCTTTACCTCTGGAGGAATTTGAGGGGTATTCATATTTTAGGTTTAGCATAACTGATACTTTTTGCTCCCCAGTTGCACTATCCTACCTTTCTGTCTCATTTCCCACCATTCCTCATGTATAAACTATATTCTTGAAATGGCTTACACAGCGTTCTTGGTATTCATCACCTTCTCTCTTTCCTCCAAACTTTGGATTGACCCCTGTTCCTAGAACACACTCCATCCTTCTTTCTCTGCTGGAAACAATCTGAATCATTCTTCAATATGTAGCTCGAAAGTCCCCTCTTTGGAGAAGCCTTCCTGACCTCTGTGCTCCCACAGCAGAGGGGATCCTCTTCTATTAAATCCTATATTTACTCATTTAGGGATATTTCCTATTTTCGGAGGTCCAAAAAGGGGTTAGATAAGCTTTATTCCTTTTTTTTTGGATTACCAAGGTAGAATGTTTTGCCTTAAAGAAGATCCTCAATAGCTTTATGAAATAATAAATTGTGAATTACCTTTGAACTATTAGATTACACTCCATTGAAAGCTCTTTTGTCAATTTATCAAGGGAGTCTTGTAATTATTATCCTATCCTATAAAGGACAAGTTAATTCTGTTTGCATCACTAGCTCCAAAAACTCGGCCAACTCGATCCTCTCCCCTGATCTTCAATTTTGGTGTGACTTAGTTGATTTATAAGAATATTTATTCTATAAATCTAGTCCTGGATAAACATAAGCCACCTAAAATGAAACACTCCTTCATAGAATTAATACCTTACACTTTCATGGAATGATTAATTTTTTCAAAGCACTTTTACTAATACACTTTATCCTCGCTCTAACCTGTAAAATACATACACAATGCATTACCCTTTTTCAGCATTTACAAGCTAAAGTGAAATGTCCTCCATGAACTAGGAAGCAAGGAAAACAAAAAGTTTAAGAAAAACTTTTGCACCAACCACCAAAGTCCTTGGGAAGGAAGATCTACTCTGTAGTCTTCCCAGGCGTGATTTCCTATTTTGCCTCGGGGCTAAACATCTGCCTCATTCCACTTCCAAGCTTCTAGAGTTCCTAATATTTTAACAAAAAACTGAGGCCCAGATGTGTTAAATTAACATGTATTAGAGCCAAAGTAGGAACCCAGGTCTTTGGATTTCCAGTATAACATCCCACTTTTCTTAATTATGTTCACCTTAACATACAGAGCTATCATCATCCAGCAATACGTATATGGTTCATAAATCTGCCTTCACCAACATGTAGAAATGAAAACTCCCGTGCCCTTTTCTCAAAAAACTAAGTTTATATGATGATCAAAATTTACCCATTAATTTTACGGGGTTAGTTGCACGGGACAACTTTAAAATGCCCAAGCACAATGATTTCATCAGAGTGCATAGAAAGGCTATAACCCATAAGTTGGTTTGCAACTTCTTGCATTACATGTCACTCCCACAGCAATGCTATGTTCTCTAATGGTTAGGGCATTTTTGGAAATATTTAATTTTAGATGAGGTGGGAATCAAAGATTTTAGCCTCTTGATCCACTAAAGATAAACCCAATGTAAGTTAATGGGAAAAAAAGCAATGCCAGGGAAAGAAACTGAAGATCTCAAATTGCTAATGGTAGGATAAAAGAAACTTCCCATGCGATTAAAAGGAAGTAGCAAAGGAGTGGGAATGGCAAGGCTTGAAGGCACAATGATGCATTTCTCTCACATTCTCTCTGTATTGGCAATCACTTTCTAAGAATTTTGATGTGGTTTCAAGAATGCACCCATCCATGACAACGCGAGTACAGCCAGTGCTTCATCCCCGAGGCCCACCATGAAACACTGGTGACAATAGAAGGCACTACTGCCTAGGGACTAGAAGATGCTCTGCAGCTGTGCGTCTGGAGACTGGATCACCTGGGTAAGGGCAGTGTCGGGCTTTTCTCATCCTCCACATACTGCTGCCAGCTCAATGACTCTGAACTCTGAAAGGCTTCTCTACCATTTCCACTCCCCTTTTAAGGAAGGAGAAGGAATCAAGGTCTCTTTCTTTCTCAGTCAGGAAGGGGATATGTTTTCTGTGTTCCTTCTCCCTGCTTGATTCTGTTAATCCAGTCTGAAAAAAATGACTAATCCAAGATTTTTTGCCCCCGCAAATATATGTGTGGGTGTATACACACACACACACACACACATATAATACATTTGCAGGGGAGATATATATGTGTTTGTGTGTGTGTATGTGTGTGTATATATATACACATACATATATAAAACATATAGTTTTAGTCCCTATATAAATTGGGTCCTACAAATACCTGTTTAGAAGCCACAAGAGGCAACTGTGGAGTGAGCTGGAGGTTGGGAGGATGAGCGGATATCAGTATTTTTATTATTTGAAATATTTTTATCTTACTTTTATAAAAAAAATAGAAAAAATCCTGGCTTTATGGGAAAAGGAGCTAAAATAACTGGTGAGCGGTGCCACTCCTCATCTCACTGCCTTGTACCTTTCCTAGCATTTTCCTGTGTCTTTTTTTTTTAATTATGTTCAGTTAGCCAACATATAGTACATCATTAGTTTTTGATGAAGTGTGCAATGATTCATTAGTTGCGTATAACACCCAGTGCTCATCTCCACACATGCCCTCCTTAGTACCCATCACCCGGTTACCCCATCCCCCCACCCCCCCTCCCTTCTGTAACCCTCAGTATGGTTCCCGGAGTCCAGAGTCTCTCATGGTTTGTCTCCCTCTCCGATTTCTTCCCATTCTGTTTTCCCTCCCTTCCCCTGTGGTCCTCCGGGCAATGCACAGAAACCTAACTGTGTCTTTAAGCGACAAGGAGAAGAAACGTTGGACCGAATCAAGTAGCAAAAAACTTCTCTCCAAGTGAGCGCAGGTGAGGAAGTTCTAAGGAAGAGCTCTGATTCATTTGGTAGAAAGAGAAATGTAAGGAACAGAGGTACGCGGAGAGTCCCGCGGAAGGCTGGGGGATTAGGGAAGAAGGTGCGGACGCGGACTCACCCCCCAGCCAGGTGTCAGAGATGTTCTGGAGCATGGTGACCGGGATGCAGAAGAAGGCGATGAGCAGGTCGCTGAGCGCCAAGGAGCAGATAAAGATGTTGGTGACCGTGCGCATGGCTTTGCTGCGGATCACCACGTAGACCACCAGCGCGTTGCCAAAGAGTGCTAGAGCAAAGATGAGCACGCCGGTGAGCACTAAGGCCAGCTTGGCGCGCCCCGGCAGCTCCGGGGTGTAGACCAGGGGCCGCAGCCCGTACCGCGCGATGAACTGCTCGCGGGTCAGGTTGTGGTCCCGTAGCAGCCGGGAGAACTGCTCCCTGGTGATGTTGAGAGACTGCATGCCGCGCGTGCTCCCCGAGCACCCGGCACCGTCTGCTACAGCCGGGCCATCCACCGCCCCCTCCCCCCCCCGCGCGCGCACACGGGCGCGGCGGGGCGGGGACTGCGAGGAGACCGGGCGGGCGGCCGCTTCCCACCCTCGGAGACCAGCACAGCCTCCGCTGGGGACTCTGGCGCGCTGGAGGGCTCCCGGCTGCACCCCACGAGGTTCGGGAGAAGGAAAGCAGCGCGGGATCAAACTCACAATCAAGAGGCGGAAAGCCAAAGCCTGGGAGATTATCCTGTTACCAAAAATGTTCGCAGTTCAAAGAAAGTTCTCTTGCTCTTCTCCAAGGTGAGGGGCTGGGGCGGTCGGGCACGCTGGAGCGTCACTCAAGAGTTCTGGCTGCCCAGCCTTCTGGTGCGCTCACCCAACCGGCTCCAGGAGCCACGGAGGGTGGGGCTGGAACTCTGCGGCGCGCCACTCCCCTCCCAGCTTCAGGGGCGCGGACGCTGCCTCCCACATCCCCAGGGCCAGGGAAACACCACATTGGCTCCCCACATTCTGCCGCCCAATGCATTTCTTCTGCCCCAGGTCATGCTTATATGTAAAACCCAGTATGGGGGTTTCCACCGTCTCACGGCTTCTCCTCTGAGGAAGTAATGTGCTATCCAAGGCAAAATAGGATTATTTTAATTTTTTCTGAATTTCCAAAAATAATTACAGCACACAGGAATTGCAAGGATAGTACAGAGAGGTCCCACATATCCTTCATCTAGTTTCTCCCATTGATTACATCTTACTTAATTATGGTTCAATACAAAATTCGGAATTTGACATAGGTACTGTGTTGTGTCTAAAGTCTGTGTCATTTTATCCCATTCCTGTAACCATCACCAAAACCAAGATAGAAAACTATTCTATCACCACAATGATCTCCCTCCTGCTACCTTTTTGTAGTCATACCAAGTCCCACCTCCCACCCCAGCCCTGAAGCCCTGACAATTACTAATCTGTTCTCCATCTCTATACATTTGACAAAAGGTTATATAAACAGAATCACACATTATAATACCTTTTGATATTTTTTTTTCCCACTCAAGCATAATGCTATTCAGATCCACCCAAGTTGTTAGGTATATCAATATTTGTTCCTTTTTATTGCTGAGGATGTATCATGCTTGTTTAACCATTCATGTTTAGTAGGCATTTGGGTTGTTTCCAGTTTGGGGCTATTACAAATAAAGCTGCTACGAAGAATCATGTACTGGTTTTTGTGTGAACAAACGTTATTTCTTTCTCTGGGAAATGCCAGGAAGTTTGATTGTTGAGTCTATGGTTTATATATTTTGATTTTGAAGGAATTGCCGAATTACTTTCCAGTGTGGCTGTACCATTTTACATTTTCCACAGCAACATATGAGAGATTCAGTTTCTCCACATCCATACCAGCATTTGTCATTATTATTTTTTTTAGCTGTTCTAATAAGTGTGTAGTGGTATTTCCTTCAACCTTAATTTTCATTTCCCTAATAGTTAGTGATGAACATCTTCTCGTGTGCTTATTTGCTATCCTAGTATTTTCTTCAGTGAAATGTCTATTCATGTAATTTGCCCATTTTCTAATTGAACTGTTTGGTTTATTTGCTGTTAGTTTTGAGGGTTCTTTTTACACTCTAGATACCAATCTTGTGTCAAATAAGTGGTTTGCAAATATTTTCTTCTAGTCTGTTTCTTGTTATTTATTCTTTTAACAGGGGCTCTCACAAATCAAAGTTTTTAATTTTTAATCAGTCCTATTTATCAATTTTTCCTTTATTGATTATACTTTTGATGTCCAGTCTAATAACTCTTCATCAAATCCTATGTCCCCCAAATTTTCTTCTATGTCTTTTTCTAAAAATTTTATAATTTTACATTTTCATGTTGGGCTTTCTATTCTGTTCCATGTGTTGATCTATGTGTCTAACTGCTACAGTACCACACAGTCTTGAATTCTTTAGTTATGTAAGTCTTGAAATCAGGTAGAGTGATTTCTCCCACTATATTCCTCTTTTTCAAAATTATTTTAGATATCCTAAGGCCTGTGGCTTTTCGTATAAATCTTACAATAAATTTATGTCCAAAAAAAAAAACCTTGCTAGGATTTTGATAAAAATCGATATCTTTACTCTGTTGAGTCTTCCAATCTGTGAATAAAGTATGTCTCACCATATAACTAGGCCTTCTTTGATTTCTCTCATCAGCATTTTTCAGTTTTCAGCATATAAGTCCTGTATATGTTTGTTAGATTTGCACTTAAGCATATCTTTTTTAAGCATTTGTACACAGTATCGTATTTCTAATTTTCAGTTCCATGTATTCATTACTATAGAAATGTGAATTTATTTGTATGTAGATCTCAAAACCTATCATGTTGCTGAATTCACTTATGAGTTTTAGGAGATTTTGTTGTTGTTGTTATTGTAAACTTCTTGAGATTGTCTACATAGATAATCATAGTATTTGAGTGGAAGGGCAGTTTTATTTCTTCCTTTCTGATTTGTATGACTTATATTTCCTTTTCTTGCCTTATTGCAGTGGCTGGAGCTTCCAGTACTATGTTAAATGGCAGTGATGAGAATGGGCATCTTTTCCTTATCCTCAGTCTCAGAGGGGGAAACATTCAGTCTCTCACTACTAAGAGTGATGTTAGCTATAGATGTTCTTTATCAATTTGAGGATATTCCCCTCTATTCTTAATTTGTTGAGTGACTTTATCATAAGTGATGTTGAATTTTGTCAAATAATTTTTCTGCACCAATTAATACAATCATGTGTTGTTGTTGTTTTATTTCATCTTGTTAATGTGGATCTCATTAATTGACTTTTGAATATTGAACCAGCCTTGAATATCTGAAATAAACCCTATTTAGTCATGGTATATAGTTGATTTTACATATTGTTGAATTCTACCATTTTTTAAAGAATTTTCATGTCTCTCCTCATGAGTGATACTGGTCTATGAGTTTCTCTTTTTGTACTATCTTTGTCAGGTTTTGATATTATAAAATAACAGAAAATATATATCTCTCTCTGCCTCCAGTTCCTGGCACAGAGCTCCTGAAATTCTTGTAATTTCCTAAGTGATAAGAGCACTGGGAGCATCTTTTGTTCTAATATTTGGTCTTTGAGTCTAGTTCCTGACACAGAGCTTTTATTTTATTTTTTTTAATTTAAATTCAATTAGCCAACATATAGAACATCATTAGTTTCAGATGTAGAGTTCAGTAATTCATCAGTTGCATGTAACACCCAGTGCTCATCACATCATGTGCCCTCCTTAATGCCCGTCACCCAGTTATCCCATCCCCCCACCCACCTCCCCTTCAGCAACCCTCAATTTCTTTCTTATAGTTAAGAGTCTCTCATGGTTTGTCTCCCTCCCTGATTTCTTCCATTCTTTTTTTCCCTCCCTTCCCCTATGATCCTCTGGGCTGTTTCTTATATTCCTCATATGAGTGAAACCATATGATAATTGTCTTTCTCTGATTACTTATTTCACTCAGCATGATATCCTCCAGTTCCATCCAAGTCGATGTAAATGGTAAGATTTCATCTTTTCGGATGGCTGGGTAATATTCCATTGTATATATATACACCACAACTTCTTTATCCATTCATCCGTCAATGGACATCTAGGCTCTTTGCATACTTTGGCTGTCGTGGACATTGCTGCTATAAACATTGGGGTGCAGGTTCCCCTTTGGATCACTACATTTGTATCTCTAGGGTAAATACCTAGTAGTGCAATTGCTGAGTCACAGGGTAGTTCTCTTGAGGAACCTCCATACTGTTCTCCAGAGTGGCTGTACCAGCTTGCATTCCCACCAACAATGTAAGAGGGTTCGCCTTTATCCACATCCTGGCCAACATTTGTTGTTTCCTGACTTGTTAATTTCAGCCATTCTGACTGGTGTGAGGTGGTATCTCATTGTAGTTTAAATTTGTATTTCCCTGATGCTGAGTGATGTTGTGCATTTTTTCATGTGTCTATTGGCCATTTGTATGTCTTCCCGGAGAAATGTCTTTTCTGTCTTCCGACCATTTCTTGACTGGATTTTTTGGTTTTTGGGTGTTGAGTTTGAGAAGTTCTTTAAAGATCTTGGATATTAGCCCTTTATCTGATATGTCATTTGCAAATATCTTCTCCCATTCTGTAGGTTGCCTTTTAGTTTTGTTGACTGTTTCCTTTGCTGTGCAAAAGCTTTTTATCTTGATGAAATCCCAATAGTTCATTTTTGCTTTTGTTTCCCTTGCCTCTGGAGACGTGTCTAGTAAGAAGTTGCTGTGGCCAGTGTCGAAGAGGTTACTGCCTATGTTCTCCTCTAGGATTCTGATGGATTCCTCTCTCACATTTAGGTTCTTTCATCCATTTTGAGTTTATCTTTGTGTATGGTGTGAGAACATTCCAGTTTCATTCTTCTACATGTGGCTGTCCAATTTTCCCAGCACCATTTGTTAAAGATACGGTCTTTTTTTCCATTGGATATTCTTTCCTGCTTTGTCAAAGATGCATTGACCATGGAGTTGAGGGTCCATTTCTGGGCTCTCTATTCTGTTCCATTGATCTATGTGTCTGTTTTTGTGACACAGAGTTTTTAGATCCTTTGAAATTTCCTGGTTGATAGGAATATCTTTTGTCACTTGAGGTGACTCTTGGTGAGCTCCTGGTTGGGGGCTTGTCACCAGAAACACCAAGCCATAACCAGAAGGTTGGAGTTTTCAGCCTCATCCCCATTTTCTGGAGAGAAGAGGGAGGCTAGAAATGGACTTAATAATCAATCATGCTTATATGATGAAGCCTCCATAAAAATTCTAATAGCACAGGGTTTAAGAGCTTCCAGGTTACTAATCATATGAAGGTACAGGGAGGATAACACTCCTGGCAAAGGATAGAAGCTCTGTGCTCCTTCCCTCATAAGTTGCCCTATGCATCTCCTCCATCTAGATGTTCATACGCATTCTTTATAATATTTTTTATAATAAACCA